TAAAAAAACACCAGAAACTTGTTTTAAAAAAGTCTCTCTATGCTCTTAAAAGTGGTTGTCAGCAATCTATAAGGAAACAACCTATTCACCAAGTTATAGCACCCTAAGGAGGGAAAGTTTTAGCCAGACTATATATAAATATGCATTTTGCTCCTGATAAAATCTGTTTAACTCCAGCATCTAATAATATTTGGACAAAAAGATCTCTTTGTTAAAGCTCATACACTTTTACTTTCTATAGGGATCTTATAATGCATGTTCCCCCTGGTCACCAAAAATCAGGTAAGGCTAGCATTTTCTGCAAATTTATCTTCAGCCGTTACTTGCGTTACCCCTCCGAGTCTGTGCAGCCATGGTGGTTTTCTTCAGGAGGGGTGATGCTGTGCTTCAGCTGGCTGTGCCCTCAGGTCTTACGGCCCAGGCTCACCCAGCTGAGCTGCTGAGGCTCTCTGGTGTTCCAGCCCCCTCACTTCGCAGCAGGTCCAGCACAAGGGACAATGTGATTCACAGCTCACTATGAAAAAATATTTGTTAAATGGAAAGAACATATTGTAGTAGAGAGGATCACAGCTTGTGTCCCCCAGAGCATATGGATGCAGTGCTGCTGGGGAAACGAGAGCCTTTGTGTGGTGCTTCATGCTGTCAGTCTTGCTTGAGGCAAGTGAGCTTGAGAGTTACTCCTCCAGGTATGGTAACATGAGTTCAGCAGCATCAGCCGAGCACCATCAACAGAGAGTAGGTGTGATATTCCTGAGCAGGCAGAAGCAGGAGAGATCCTGTCCCCGTGCTCAGGATAGTTTGGAGGAAACCAGTCTGCCACAGTCTTGCCTCACCTCACATCTCTCTGCATCATCAGACCATGCTCCCCCCTCCAACACAAGAGTGTGCAAGCCCAGTATTAAAAAAGCCTCTTGCAAATTTAGCTGCAAGTAAGGAGGCAAAGGAAGTTTTAGGGCTTAATTTTCCTCTGCTGTGTCTATATGACCTAGTTGGGACAAAAGACTTCCAAGGTTTATTTTGGTGAAGCCTTGGTGAGATCGAGTGTATCATTTGGAGGAGAATCTCTCTCCATCTAGCTTATATAAGAAGATGGTTTTCACCCTGGAGATAGTATTCAAATACCATGCACCTGCTGTAAGCTCAGCAGAAACATTCTTATTTTGCCATATTAGTCTTGCTTTGGGGCCTGATTTGAGACCCATTAAAGGAACTCAAGCCTTGTCCTAGGCACTAACAAGCAGGCCCTTAAAACACACCCAAAAGGCCACGAAAAAATAAAAATAATCCATTCACCAGCTTTTCAGGCTAAATCTCAAATACATTTAGCACTGAACTCTTGCTGCAAATCTTGTGGGGGGATAAAACAAACAAGCCTTGGTCCACTGGATTGCTTTAATAAAAGGTTTATTGGAAATATTTTTGTGCAGACATACAACAGTCAACAATGCTGTTCAAAGCTACAAATTGTCTAAGTTTTTTGAACCTTCTAAAAATACAAGTAAATGACCTTCATTTGTATTCAGTCTGGAAGGGAAACAAACTTCACTGTAATGCGATGCTGTATTTAAACTACCAAAGGACATTAATAGGACCTGAAAATGGTAACACTTCTAGAGGAAAAAACACACACACCACTGCTGCTCTGCTGGGAGCCAATTAAACATCCCCCCACAGCATCACTCCTCTCTGCATATCCAGATTAAAACGTCCCCATCTGAAACAATATTTAAGCAATTCGAGTACAGATATGACAGACAAGTGGGCACATGACTTGGCTCGCTGATGAAAAAGATGCTGTTAAGATCCTGTCACTCAAGACGCTGAGTATTTGACCTCCCAGTGCAATAGGCTGCACTTTGGGGGCAGGAGGAGGGACAGGGGGAGGTTTTCAAATCAGACAGTTCTTCCAACACACACATGCACACAGTCCCAGAGGGCTTGGCTGCCTCGTTGCTGTATATCTGGAGTCCTTTCTTTTTTTTTTTTTTTTCTTTTTTAAAGAGTTTAGAAACAACTTTGAGCAACTTTCCAATCTATGAGGTCTTGACCGTAAGAAAAGCAAGTACCCTCATTCCCTTCCTGAATCAAAATATCAACCAGAAGGGCAAAGGAGAGCATATGCACAGTCTGGTAAACTCCATGTTTTCTAAGAAACCCTGTTTTGAAATTGATTAATTTATGCCAAGATGACATCTGGAACATCTTCGCAGGGAAGCCACCCAGTAAAGTAGTTAGAATCAAAATAATCATGTCTTTCTGTTAATGTTGGTTTTTTCCCTTGGCTTCATCACTCCATAATTACAAGGTGCTGACCTTCCAGCTATGCATAGGGACAATTTGGCAATGTATTAGACTTTTCCTCATCATTAGACCTCTGTTTGACTGCCCAGAGCTCGGCTTGACCACACAGAATTTGTCAATTACCCACTTCTATTTCTCTTTAGTAACTACAGAGATGCTGAAGGAGAACGAACCCCTTGTGGCAGACTTCAGGAGAACTTGTCTCACCTTCTTCATATATAAAGGTAGCCTTTGGATAAAGACCAGTACTCAGCTGCTTTACCTTCTGTCCACACCACAAATGAGCAGGCCATGAATACAAATGAAACAACTTCTAGGCTTCACACTCTATCACAAAAAGATCCAGGTCCCCAGATTAACAAGTTCCTTGCACTGGCCTGAGGGACAGGAACCTGCCCAGGAGCAACACCTAAGAAGTCCCATTAACTCTACATGAAGGATTCTCAGTCAGGACTGAAATAATTTCAGTGCTCAGTTCTGGTGGGTCCATGAGGAAAACAGTAGTTGGGAAACAATTTAGCAATCTGTCATAACCCATGAAACAACCCACTAGAGCCAAAGTATGCTAAGCAGGGGGCACTTCTGGCAGGGACACCTTTCCTTTTTCCAAGCCCAGGACTCAGCTTGGTACCAGAGAAACTCAGCTTCAGGAAGGAACCAAAGAAGAAAGCTTTATCACAGCACTTCAGGGAAGCCTGAGGAATTCCTCCCTTCTCTAACCTCTAACAGCAGCAGTGGTCTTGGCCAAACTATTCTGTTTCCCAGTACCTTCACCTCTCCAGACAGCCAATCCGAGAGCACATTCCTGGCCAGATAAACTCAGTCAGGCTGTCAGGGCTTTCTGCAGGTCACCGAGAAGTGATCACCTTTGGGATTCACTTGTGGGGCCAAGCAGCACAGGGCATTTTCTGGTTTTCATTTGCCAACAAAGCTCAAAGCCTCCATTAATCTTACTGCTACATATGGAAAAGGTACAGAAAGAGTTATTTTCTGTACCCATATGGACTTATTTTGATGTCTCCTATTGTACTGACCTGTCCTGTGGCTTTCTCCAGACACACAGCTCTGGTCACAGATGCTGAAAGGTGGTGAAGGCTCTCTTGGGTGTCTATAGGATACTGAAGATGAGAGATTTGAGCTCTTTCCTTCCTGGAGTTATTCAGTTTTGAGAAGTCAGTATAAGCAATATTCTAAGAGTAGGAAAAATAAAATGGGAATAGAGTTGTATTAACTGTGTTATCAAGTCTACAAGATTTGCCCCAACCCCACAGAGGACAAAAAAGCTTTTAAGAAAAAAATCAGTGTGTATGGTTTCACCAATCCCAAAAGCTCAGCACCAGGAAGAATAAGCTCCAGAAAGAAACTGCCTCTCTGAAAGCTCAGGTCATGTCAAAGGCTTCACCTCACCAGCACTAACAGGTAACTTCCAAGGAAGCAGGGGCTATGCTCCTGGAACAGTTCATTTTACCCCTGCTGCTGCTGGCAGAGTCCCACTGGCCACTGTCTATGATACAAAAACAACTATGCTACCGTGCTGTGGAACAGCCAGCTCCCTGTGGCTGCACCTCTCAGCCTGGCTGAAGAGCCACACTTCAAAATGGGATCTCCTGCACAGAGAGCTTTTGAGGAACAGTGACATGCCTGCAGATAAGCAACATGCCAAAGAGAAGCATCACTGTCTGTCAACTCGCTTGCCCAGTGACATGATTGCTCACACAGGGTCTGACCGGTGGGATGAGAGTGGGCTGTGTACAAGTCCAGCCATCAGATTCATGACCTCCTGAGCAGCGTGGAGGGACAGTTATGAGTTATGGCTAGGAACAACACTTGGATTTGAATTCAAATCTCATTTGATAGGCACTTTAGCTGTGCCTCTAAGAGCTGCCTGCTGGACAGCCTCAGGGCTGTGCCCAGGGGACCCTGCAGGTACAAGGTAGGGACAAGGGTCTGGATCTACTTGGTGCTCAGCATTCTCGAGGAGGCACAGAGCTGCAGCATAGACAGACTCTGGAAGAAATGAGTAAAAGGGTCCTTCCTGACAGGACAGAAGGAGTCCAACTGTCTAGACATTGAGGAACATATGCAGGGTCAATGCTGTGTTTCATAAGCAGAAGCAAACTGCTACCCAGATATAGCAGTTATACAGCACAGGTATAGCACAAATTCTCCTCTCCGACCCCTCAGGTATTTCATAACATCATTGTTTCTTATTAGACTCAATAAGACACAAAGAGCTTTCCTGCAAACTGGTTGAAGTTTAACGCATTGATACTGGGTGGATCCAAAACTAAGGTAAAATTATCCTCAGTGCTTAACACTATGAGAAATCTGACAAATCTGAAGTGCTTCTTGGGGGCAAACACCCACTGAAGGGCTGCTCTGCTTCAAACTTGAGCTGTGAGGTGTAATAGCAGAAGTACAGTCAGAGCATTTAAAAATGAAATTAAGTAATTTTTTACAAAACCAAGGGACAATGTAAATAGGACATCACTAATTTTCACTGATGACTGGAGGCAATGTGAAACAGCAGATTTAGTGAGTTAGCCCAAAAGGACAAAATAAGCTTGTAGGACAGGGACAGTGTAAGGTCCATGCACCTCTCAAGCTCTTGGGTTCTCCATACAGGGCCAAGTTGCACCCAGTGTGGACACTGACTACGTCACATTCCCTACATTTCACACATTCTGGTCCACCTGAGCTTTCTTATTTATGACTTTATTATTATGACTGTTTCCCAGCAAACACACTCCATTACATGCTGTAAAAATAATGTAATCTTGGTAAGAGGAGACTTCCCTGCAGCATCTGCTATTAGCTGCTGGTTGAGGCAGGGGACTGCACAGTTTTGGCATGCACTGAGAGGCGTGTGGTCTAGTGAAGCGCAGATTAGCGAGGTTTGACTGTTATCTTAATTTACAGCCCATATAGTTCATGTTAACTCTACACACATTTTTAGATACATTAGCAGTTTAGTTTGACCTAGATACTTTTATTGGTTATTCGCCATTTCTCCTTACTGACTTCCCATGCTTAGCTCCCTACAGCAAGACCTGAAGCCCTGTCAAGGAAAAGAAAATGTCAACAGACTTCTCAGCAGTGCTTAGCTCAGGCTCCCACTCGCTGGCTTCAATTTGCTACTAGGCAGTCATTAAAGGAACAGCAGTTTATATGCAAGCAGTGATTCCAGTGTTACAAAAAGCAGCAACTAGATCCACGTTTAATTTAGGTAAATCACCACTCCCTTCTGAATATTCAAACCCACCTCCTTTTGGTCAGTGCAAAGAGCTGCCCAGGAAATCCTTTTCTGATCAATCCTAGGTAGTTAAGCCTGGACGGTAATGCAGAAATCTCCCATTCCTTCTGCTCTGATACCCTGTCTAGTTGATAACACTTTCACACAGTGCTTTCAAAGGCTGCTGTTACTGCTACATGCATTTGCCTTAATGAACAAGGAATTCTGTTGATGCAGAGCAGCTGCCAGTCTCCTTTTGCTGGAATACACCTCATCATTGTTCATGAAGACAAGCAACTCCAACAGCCAGTCTACAGCATATTACAATACATTAATTCCCATAATGACTCCAAAGAACAAGAAGAATGCCAGGTCTTGACCCGGGTGGGTTCTACAGAATTAACTCAGCTAGAGATTAAGGCCTTACAGTGATGATAAAGTCTGACCCACTAGCCCCAGTGTCACATACTGTATAGCCCTGCGACAAATCCCATGTGCAATTCCCATTGAGCTGACAACCAACACACGTACCTCAGTCTAAGCCACCATTCACTCTGGGGAGGGTCTGTGTTTGTGACACACACTGACCTCAATTTACAGGGAGGTCAAAATGATACAGCCCATAGTCTGCACTAATAAAATAAATCACATCAGATGACAGCTTCTCCTCCCCAGCATTTCCCATTATGTTCTGTAAATTTTATTGCAGTAAGTTAAGAACAGAAAAGACTCCAGGATCCCTTCTATTCTCTGCTTAACACGTTTACTTGCCCTTCTTCATTACCCAGAGGTTTTTAAAAGTTTCTTTCTGCATCCTCATGAAAAGCCTCCAAATTGTTTACATACCAATGTTTGGTGTGTGGCTTAGAGTACAAAGACTAAGCTGATCTTATTTTGTCTTGGTGGGAAGTTAATTTTCCTTGTGTTTTTACAAAAGGAAGAAACAATTAGCAGTTCTGAGGAATGGCTTACACCACACATTTCCTAAATAGATTTGGGTTCTAAATAAAAGGAAGTGTTTAACAGGTTATATCAGCATTAAGATTTAGAAGCTCCTGGGATCAGGTTTACTCTCCCCTTATTTATTCTATGCACTAGTATTTGTGCCTTTAAACAAAATTTATCTCCCAGAAAATACACACATCCACACTTGGCCCCTTGACATTCATGCCTATGGCAAAATTATTTGCACGTTTCCCCTACTACATAATTGTCTCATTAGCACTGCAGAAAGAAGGTGATGACTTTTTCCTCTGTGCCATCAACTTAATCCAAGACCAATCCTGACTGGTGCTGCAGGAGCAAAATTTGCCTTTTTTAACACGGAAGAGGACTCTGAGCCTTTGAGGTGGCACTGGGAATTGAATTATGACACTTGAGCACTGGCATTTACTCACAACCCTTAAGGAAGATTAAGCCAGTTGGCCAGTCTGGTGCTTTCCTTTCCTTTGCTAAACATAAATATTCATATTCAAATTGCTTTCGGATATATTTAAATTAATAAAAAAATCTGGATGACGGTCAATAGGGCAAAAAACAACGCCAACTTTCTAAATACACAGATGTAGTATATACATTAACCACAAAACCTGGCTTAAACACAGCAGTATTTACTTTATACTATTCAGAAACGTGGCTTGGCGACTAAAATTAATAGAACTTGTCTGGAGGACAGCATAAGCTTTCTAAGAGCTCTTTCAGCTTTAACTTATGTGCCAGTTTTTGCCTTTTTTTTTTTTTCCCCCCAAATTCCAATCTATGCAGCAGCACGCCTGTCCCACTGGCACAGCAAGGTTGTGGAGCCAGCATTTCTTCCAGGGCTCACAGGTCTGAAGCCTGTGAAGCCTGTTGATGGATCAGATCTAGAAGAGGGACTGGTTTGGTTGAACAAACAAACAGCAGGTCTTCTCTTCACAATGACCAGCTCTGTTTGTGTACATGTGTGTGCACACATGTGTGTAAACCCTTCCTAACTTTTCTTCACAAACCTATCCTACCTGGTCAGGGAAATGCTTCTTTAGGGTTACAGCATCAGCCTCTTGTGTGGATGCATATCTTCATATCTGACAAGATTATACCTTTAAAGTTCTCGCTGTTTTGTTCTACTATTAAAGTGGGAATGGGATTATGGAGGGAAATCCCTAGCTACATTGGAAGTGCACATCCAAATACATCATGAAGCGTTAGGAGGCACCTATTTGAGTTAATCTTTGTGTACAATGCCATGCACTCAAGACAGCTGCCCTGCCAAGCTCTCTGACTTCCACATCTTGGCTTTGTAAGTAAGCTATTAATTGGGTTTCAGAAAGCTAAGACAGATCCCTAATAAATCTTGTAAGAGGGCATGAAATATTCTAAGTAATTGTTTGCTATCTTGTGTTATTCTGTCATAAGAAGGCAAATAAGCATTTTTAGCTACAAACTGTGTTGCAATCAAAAATTTTACACCAAGTGGTCTGTTGAAAATTTCAGCCAAATTAGTAAACAGTGAATACCAGAAGGAGTAAAGTCTGCATGCAGTCGTGTGCACTTGGTCTGTGTGTAACAAAACAGGAAATCTCAGCACCCCGTTCCAATTAAGCAAAGGCTTGTTTCTCATGGAACATAAATTTTCTGCTTTTCTCCCAGAACAACCTTATGCTGATGTTTTAAATAGTGGTAAAACATTGTTTTTAATTTCACACCTCACATAGCACAGTCAAATGCTTCATAACAACATAAACAAAACTTTAGGCAGAGCTTTGCAACTGAAGTCAAACAATGATTTCCCCCCACATTATGTACTCAAGGTTTGCAGGGAGAATACAGAAACTTGTTGGCTAAGGCCACAGAAATGAGTTCTCTGGTGTTCTGACTGCTGCCACCAATTCTAGTCAAGAATGTGTTAACAGTGGATGCATTGATCCAAATCCCATTATTCCCACCACCCATCAAGTAAAAACCATTTATTCTATTTCTGTTCTCCTTTTGGTTGTATCGTAGGATCGAACAACTTGCGACTGGGAAACAACACCGTGTTCTTCTTGAGAAAATGCATACCCATCTGAAAAAGCAAAGGAAGAGAAAAAATTAAATCACTAGAGTAGAGCTCAAGGGCACAGCCCATTTTTAGAAACAGTTTTAGGCATTACTAAAGTTACATGATTGAGACTGCAACCATCTTCATTTCTGTGCTGCGCTTCTGATGCTTACAGCTGTGCATTGCATTGCCCACGTGGCATAGAAAGGATGACTGCTGCCAGCTTCATCCTGCTGCTCCCCTCCCCAGACCAGTTAATTTATACAGTCATGACTCCCTCTGTGTTAGCCTTGAAAGCTACAGATTGATTTGAACACACGTGTACTCCTACAGTGGCAGAGCTTCTTTAAAGACTTTAGAGAGAAATAGAGATCTGCATTTCAGCTCGACTCTTCTACAGTTTGCTTGATATCAGCAGTTCCTCTGGAGAAATATGGAAATGTCTAGCCTGCAACTGGATCTTTGTCACATCCTCCTCTTAACTCCATTCATCCATATTTTGCATAGAGCAAACAAACATATTCTGGAGGTCTTTATTTTGTTAATCCTGCTAGCTAGCACAATCCTTTGGTCTCCCTAGAAATTACTCAGATGAAAATAACCACGCGCATGATTTCTTTTAAAGTACTGTGGACAAGGCAAGTGACATTTTTGACATCATCTGCAGAACACCACAATGCTGGTACTACAGTCACAAAAGCTAATGGGCCTACATGGTGAAACACCAGACAGACTTGCAGACATGACCCTACAGAAAATTCTGAATGAAAAACTATAGCAAAGTACAACAGACTTTGTGATGCCAAGGAAACGTGGTTTTCAGGTGTAAATGGGTAATCATAAAACATAAGAAGGGCAGATTAGCATAGTTACAAAACCAAAGAAATAGGAAAGTCACAGGCTACACCTAACCAGATAATGCTTGGTAGTAGAAAAGCAGGCAAGACTTGGGAGAATCCAAGAATTAAACCATGGCTAACTCTCCATGGGCAACAGTCCATTTCCCCTGAGGAGCTCTGGAAGCAGGAGCTTGAGAATTCTCAAATCCTGCCTGAGATTTATCCCAGGCTAAAAACCACATAATCAGATAAGGACACATCCCAGTTACTAACCAGAGACCTATCAAATGCCTTTCAGAAGTCCTCCCTTAATTCTCCCCCCTACACCAGGTACTGAGGTAAGGCTGGAGCACAACAAAGAGGGTCTGTGTGACAGAAAGGCACACAGGGCTGAACACCCTCTTAAGACAGGAGGGATATGAGGCTCCCAAGAAGTTTGCTGCTATAGACTAGACTTTCTCCCCGTGGGCCTGAATGCAGCCTTCTTTGAAGCAGGTGACCAGTGCTGGTAGCCAGAAGCAGTCCAGAAGACCAGAAATTAACTGTATCCTGTGAGGCTTGTTAAATCTTCACCTTAACAACCAAGTTGGGACCATGTGACTCAAGCAGAGATGCTCAAGCAGTCCTAGATCTTTTCTTTGGCTGATGCCTGTACAGGGAGGGTGGTCAGCAACTCCTGTACAGCAGTAAGCTGCTGAGAAGAGAATCCTGCAACACTACGATTGACCACTAGATAACGTGTAGGGTTTTTTCTTCCCTCACAGAATACAGGGAAATGTCCCCTCTGAAGCCACTGGTATTCCACTGTAGATTCAAGCTCTTAAGGCAGAGGGCACGCTCCCTTAGCAGGAGAGGTTAGCTGACCTGAATCACAAGTACAGCAGGAAATCTTTGCCACTAAGTGGAGGGGATTCAAACAGAAATACATCACTCCAGTCACATCTTCCTCTTGGATTGATTGCAGGACAGCATGAACCTTGATTTGATTACATGATTGATCATCCCAGTGTCCCATTTTATTTTCCCTGACCAATTCCATGCCAATATACATACCCCTACAGAGGCACAGGTTGGTTTTTCCTGCCTCTCGTTGAAGGTTCACGAAGTGTAAACAGTCTTTTGGAAAAAAGTACGTCCATGCTGGATCATTGCAAAGGAAATACTACTTATAAAAGAGGCTTTCATTTAAAAAGGAGTAGATTGACACTTAAACAAATACCTCCAGTGGGTTTCTTCCATGTTAAGGGCCAGCATCCTGTTAGCTTTTTTGGCTAAATTCTCAGTGGTAAGTCAACTTAGTCAAAGACTGTAAGCTTAAGCCCTAAAGACTGAAGCCCATGACCCATAACCTGATATTTGCATTGAGATGGCTTTCCTGTATTTACTTATCCAGTAAGATCATCCAGCACAGTGAAGTCTTCCATTGCTGTGACTACTGCAAATACAGCACTGACCACACAAGTGTGTGAAGACCATCAGGCCCAGGTATCTTCCTGCCTATTTCCTGTGCTAGCATAGGCCTGTAAACAGCCAGGTACCCCAATCACTCCACAATGCCAATGCAAAAGGCAGTCAAAGAAACAGGTTCACCACTCTCACATCAGTAGAAAACACCTTGACGTGACAAAAAAATTTCAGGCTACAATCAGTTGTTAAGAGTACCAGGGGTATCCTTACATCTTCATGTTCTCCACCCATCCTGAAATACCAGCAACGAGAGTTTTGTGTGTACGTCATGGGAAAGACTGTGACCCTTGCACATCACCTACTTAGTTGAAGCTCAACATTTGGCAGTTCATTTAAAACTTTTCTGTAGATCTCCATACAGGAAGATGAGTTCATATTACATTTTTCTATTCACATTACAATTAAAATTGAACTTCAAGCTGTGTAGGCAGCTTACTGTGCCTTGTGGAATCAAAATGCACACATTTTGATTCCACATCCACACTCCCCAAGCAGCTCTACATTTCCACTATTTTTAGACCCCATCCAAAAACAATGAAAGTTTCCATCTGCCAGTTACTAGGGAACTTTCCGGAAGTTTGAACTTTTCCCCCAACTCTAGTTTTAAAACCACACCTATAAGCCTGCCCTGGGAACAATGCCCTCATTGTTCAGCTGTCCTGCAGCAGCCCAAAGAAGGAGCACATTTCTTTGGGGCTTTCTGGGCACAACCCACTCATGGCTGTCACAGGAGGAAGGGTCTTTGTACTCAGAGACTTTCTATTAATGGAGAAAAGGCACACTTTTGAATATCTATCAATGGGGCTCACTTGTTAAGAGGAGATTCACATTCTCATCAAATCTAAGGTTTCATTAGCACCAGATATTATCAGACAACCTACTCAATTTTGAAAGCATCCTGTTGGGTTTTCTTAAAGCTTTGATATTCTACTAGTAGATCAGAATCTAGTCTCCCATTAGGTTTCTAATTTAACACACTCTTTTTCTGTTTACTGCAATGGCTATTCTGGTCTGTGTGATGCTGGACTACAGCAACCATCTCCATTGCATGTGCCTTGAACACAGACAGCAACTTGTGGAAGCTCAACATACTCATATACATGAGCATACTCATGTGCAACAACTTCCAAGACTAGGACCAAGAAAGGGTCCAGGGTGGTCTTTTTATTCCAGAAAATCTCTCCACAGAAGGACCGCCTACAGGTCTAGTCACTTCAGGGATTTATTTTCGAGGCCTTCTACTCCTTGCACTCTCCTCTGATACACTCAAAGTGTTTGTCTCAGGATTTCTTTAGGCCAGCCGGTAAAAGGGCAATTTTCACTGGCAGCCCATTAGAACCTTTGCCTGCTGCAGCAGTTCACTATTTCATACATGCTGTGGTATTATGGTTTAGTATAGTCCAAAGTATAATAATGCCCCCTTTTGTTTGCCTTTGGAGAAAAATGCCCAAATTCAAATCCACTATAATTTTTAAGTGGTTGGTGAGGATGGGAGGGACTTAAAAAAAAAAACCAAACAACCGGACCCTCTTTTAGTAAATGTTGCTTCTTAGGTAGCAAAAATCTCTCTGATATAAGAAAAATCAATGTTAGGGTATCAATTGACCAGCCAAATCTCTCTCAGGCAAATGTCTGGTTCTGCACAGTTTTTAAGGATATTTGCTATGATGTCACAGTTCACATTTACCAGTTAAACAGTGAATGCTAACTCAGCTTTGACTTCTCCAGCAACCCACTCCCACTTAACCTGGGAAAGGGAGAGCTGCTTAAAATCTTGAACCGTTTGACTAATGCTTTCAGAAATTGTTAATTTCTCTCCTGATAAACTGTGCCTGTGTTTTCTAAAGGACTGAAGAGTAATTCCTGACAAATGACCCCATCTCTTTCATCCCAGATACTAACCTACTGATATTTGCATGTAGAAAATAGAGTCAGATGCCACAGCATCAAATCTAAACTGATTATTCCTACTTCTTTTTCTTAAGTTGATTTTAGAAAATTGAAACTCCACTTAACATCAACAAACATGGAAAAAGCTTGGAAAAAATAAAGAATTCAGATTATATTTCAAACACATGCAAGATAAGAGGAAAAGGAGTCTAAAAACATCTCAAGTAGCTACCCCTCTGTTTTTCAAATCAAAATGCATCAGCAGAAAAGTGAGAGGAAGAAGGTGTCTGCTAGTGGTGAATAAATAGTGGGATTAGAGCCCTCAGCATGAACATATTATTATTATTTATTATTTGTCAGCTCCCATACTGTGAAATGAACCTCAGATGACAGGTGCTTTTTCTCCATTGATTAATAAGGTGCAAACCATATGCTCTGTGTTCAGATTTTCTCTATGCAATCACCATATTCTGTCAAAGGAAGAGGGATTTTCTTTGCTAGTACAGGAAATCTGGGCCAAGTGCAGTAATCCTCATTCAAGCACAGCTATTGGCATTTCAGGGGGAGTTCTGCCGAAGCTGTGCTTTAATGGGAGTGAGATTCAGATCTATTTTTAAAGAGCATGCTGAGACAAATGATAACTAACACTGCCAGGGATGTTACAGGAGGGAAACTGCACTAGAGAGATGTTGTCGGACTTTCCTTATAGATGGACAGGTCTGAGGGTACCTGAGCAAGATGGGAACATCGCTCCTCCCATCCTGCTGGTGAGGCTCTGGAGGCACAGGTGATACAGGTCAGTCACACAGAAGGAAAGGGGAGGTCAGAGGCATCTTCTGAATCTACAGAGCTTCTCTAAAGGAGGTGCTACTTTCAAAAAGTCACAGCAAAAAAAAGACACAGATTTGGATGGAGACCTAGAGAAAACTTCGTTGCCAGCAAACCCTCTGAGGGAGAGCTTTTGTAAGTCATTATTGCTCGTTCCCCCAAGTGTGAACCCTACAGCAAGCTAAAGGGAAGGGTCCAAAGACACATCTGGGAGGAGCCTGGTAACATTTCCTGCTCAGTCTTAAGAGGTTTCAGAAAGCAGATGGCATCAGGGAATTCCCGATTTCACCAGACACCTTTGCCAGGAGACAGACCAAGCCTGGGTACCAGCATCGTCACTGCTGCCTACGTGATTCCACTAAGATGGTTTTATGTTAGCACATGGGCTTGACAACCTCAGAAAACTCTTCCACTAAAGTCTCATGACAATGCCATCCAAATGGGAGCTTCACTTTTTTTTTCCTTTTTTTTTTTAAAGTAAACTTCCCAGACATTACACTGGTACGAAGAAACCACATAATTTTTGATAGTACAAGCTAGTAGACAGATTTCTTTCATGCTTCTGACAGCTCTACACAATTCAGGAACACACAAAACAAAGTCAGACCAAGCAAAACAGCCATGAAGGTTTTACTTTAAGGGCATACCCTTCCAGGGGTTACTAAACTGGGCCTACTCTCCAAGGTAGCCACTCTGAGACAGTCTCTTTAGGGAGGGAAGCATTTAAGAGACTAATCCTGGCTGGTACTCCTGTACTGACATGGCACTGTCTGTGTGGTTCTGCTACCCACTTTGGGGGCTGGATCCACAAGAGCCTCGTGCCATATGGGAGCACCCCAGCCACAAATCATCAAATCATGCCTGAAAGTCTTGTGCTGTGCTAGTGCTTCTGTAGAGGGGCTGACTTACCAACAGAGAGCTAATGAAACACACGCAGAATGAGCTTCTGCCTTTCTCACAGGGCTGTGCAGACTTAACTCAGTCAGCTCTTTCCTCCCACCACAGACCACTAGTAGTAGCCTGGAAACTCTCCATAAGATTTTTCTCCTTTCCATGTGATTAGAAACAAAGTTATTTAGGTATTGCTTCATCTCAAAACATTTGGTAGTGGTTGTTGTCAAAAATAAAGTGATTCTCAAACTAGTACTGCATCTTCGCAATCTGTGCTAGGGGAAATTTAATCCCATTTTCATTCCTTGTTGGGACTAAGGCAATTCATTTGCTTAAGCCCTCATCAGCGCTAACTAAACTAACCATTTTCCTGCTTTATATGCAAGTGACAGATTCAGAGTGGAAGTCACACAAGCAATTTTTGGTCTTCACAGGCTGGTAACTTATGGCCTGGTAGAAACATGAACAATTCAAGACTTCAAACACAGTGCTTGTAGCGTGATTTAAGATACTGGCCTGGCATGTCAAGGCTACTGCCCCATTCATCAACTCTTTGCTTTGAAGATTTCTAGCATTTAGTAAACAGTTTAGGGTTGTGAAAACAGCACGTGTTCACTGGATTTCACACGACCTTGTACATATAGCAGCTATGCAATACTGGAAAATAATATTTGACAAGAGATGACAGAAGTCATGGATACACCACAAAAAGCATCTTTCAGTCCCAACAGTTTCAAAATCAAAATTTATGTTCATGTGAAAAACAGACTGCTGATTGTAACCTGTCCTGACTGGTCTGACTCATTTAGCACTTAATCATTTGCATTTATAGGGAAGTTGGTTATCCAAACTAGGATTTATTTTGATCTCATTTTTCTTTCCCAACAGCTATTTACCTACTAATAACCTGATGATGTGTTCTATGAGACTAAAAGCACATATTAAGTCTGTCTAGTCACCTCTGGTGTATCTCTCTTCTGTACCTTGTTAAGGCTTTACAGCAGACTACTTTGACAGTAATTTATTTAAGCATTTTACAGATTTCTTCTGCCAACCATAGCTTTTGCAATCTTCTCAAAGATCATGTTTGCATGTCCAAAGCTGTGTTGCTACCAGCATTCTCGGCTGCTTGACACAAAGGATTAAATACTGGCAGAAACATATGGTCCACAGGACTGCTCTGCACACCAGCCTCTCTTCCCAGGAGCAATGGGATTGATGGTTGAGGATCTATATCCCTTTAAAGTGATGGCCGTGCAACAGATCTATGAAGGACAAAGACTATCAGATCCATCACTGTTCCACCCCTTCTAGTCAAATTCCCTGTGGAAAACAGGAATATCTCAGGTATTTGGGTTTTCAAATCCCAGTCCTGCCTCCATGACCTGAACCATAACAGTTCTGCTACAGAAGACGACACAGCTAGCAATGAGATTTGATTTCAGTGATTCTTTAGTCAGAGGTGTCACTTCTCACTGCAATGGCAATACGAACCTCAAATCCTGAGTGCCTGCCCCTTGCCCTGTGCGCTGCAGTACTGCACACTGGGGGGTTGTTTTCTTTAGTAAGATGAGCATATTTTGACCACTAGTTTAACCACAAGAGAGACTGCATTTTACCAATACAAGGGGCTGACTGGACTTCCTAGTCCCCCAAGACAGCATGGTCCTTCAGTGTATCTGGCCTACAGAGCTGTTAACAATGATTTTTAATACTGTGGAAGCCCTTCTAACACTGACAAAAACCCATCAGGTCCAGCAGATACAAGGTCTATTCCTCTAGGAAGATGAATAAATGTGATTTATTCGAAACAGCAGCAGTAGTGAGATGTGATGTTACTACTCTTCCCCCAGCAGTGGTCAAAGTGGGAGAGGAGAGAGGCAGCTCTGCAGGCCATGGCTTTCCTCATCAGCAACACACAGAATCCCAAGTGGCATTACTGAAACATGGTTGTATTCTCAGCTAACCACAGATAATATGATTTCTCATACAGAAACCACTTCTATCTAAGCTAGGCTCTATCACAGCATTTATTTTATGCAGAGTTTTTGATTTTTTACAGTATCCTTAAGACTATCAGCATTCTACCTTTAGAGAACCTGCTTACTGGGGTTTTGTCATTTGGGCCTGTTGATTGGTTCCTGGGGAATTAACCGCATTTGAGCTCCACTTGCCTACGGCCAAATACACTAATTCCACTTCCAAATGTATGTGTCTTGCTTGGCAGCTCAGCCTCTGTGCTAGATTATCTCTACCTACAATTTAATTAAAAAATAATCACCCTTTGCTTCACTCATCTGGGACTGACTGCTGTGAAATACACACGCATACATGATCCGCTACTTACGTGATATACTTTGCTGGACAGAATGAGCACGGAAAAGGCTCGGAGGAGTTTTCCTGCCAAGCCTTTTTAACAAATGATCACGTTCGTTCACGCTAAGGGAGAGAGGAAAAAAAAAAGAAAAAATACCAGTGAGTAACTAGATAATTTCAAGGTAAAAGTCAGCTGTATTTAAAGTACTTGGCAGCTTTGACTTTGTCAATATTTGAGATGGTTGTAGTACGAGAAAGAATTTCCCTTTTTTTGTTTAAAACTGCACATTATTAAGAGAACCGTCTAATGATGGAAACTCATCCTTTCTAAGGACACTTTGTATAAGTCTACTTTTAGTCAGTCCATCTCTAATATTACCGTTATTGTAATTTCTGAATGCTTGATGCCTCTAAATTATTACAAACCATGTTAGAAGTCTGATCAAGTAATACAGAACATTAAAAAGAAGATTTCTCTTTAGTTTTATATACATTAATCACAGCGCCCACAAATGGCCTTAGAGAGAAGGAGCAAAGCATTGAAGCTTAGCACAAGGTAGAAGGCTTCTATCACACCTGCAAAACGACCTGAAGCAACAAAAGGTGGGAACCATAGTTAATTCTATCTCCTAAAGAACATTCTCATTTTCCTCATGAGAAAGAAAACTTTCTATCCTTTTTTAAAAAAAGAACACAAAACTTTGTTTTTCACAGTTCCTGTCAAAGGCCTGAAAAAATTATTGTTGAATTTACAAAAAGTAAAAATACAAACTTGAGGTGAAAAATACAGTATGCTTACACTAGGTTTAACACACATACACAAATCATTAGAGATGCTCTCCACTCTGATTTTTATTAAAAACACAACATTCATTTAATCAAGAATTTTACGCCCAGAATTAACAAATGATGACTAAGATCCTGACCTTTCAAAGCATTTAATTATGTATACAAGTCCTATTAAGTCTGATGAGGTTTTAAAATAACGTTATCAAATCTCTGCACTGGAGCCTCAAATAACTTCAACATCAGATTATTTTCAGAAAGATATTACAGTCTATTTTAGTTCAAAGTTCTCCACAATTGGGCTGTTTTTAACATTTCACCCTTGTTCCTAACACCGAGATGGAGCTAGTGCATAGAAGGAAATCTACTTGCTGGAGCAGCTCCCTGCAGCGTCTTTATCCCATTCGCACCACATTTACACTGTGTCTCCATTTTCACAGTCTGCTTTTTCTTTCACATCTTTATTCACAAGCAGTAATTCCACTAGTTATGCTGAAAACATGGATACACACCTGAATGCCAATGCATTACAAATTCACATGCATTTGGTACATGAAATGGAAATCCCAGCAAGCACAGCTGCTGCCGGCAACAAGCTTACAACAGATTTAAACAAACAACTCCCTTTCACTGAAGCAGTTTGCTAACTTCAAACAAGAAAGTAACTGAAGAATCTCTGCGATGCCTATAATATGTAATCCAGCCATGCAGGCTTATATTCCACTTAATAGTCCATTAAGGTAACAGCCAGGCTCAGTCCTCTGTTCAGTGCATAATGAGATATCCACAAAAGAAAGGGAGGAATCCTTCTCTTTTTCCTGGGGTCTCTAAGCTCACACACCTGAACTGGAAGCTTGTAGAGCCTACAGACTCCTCCTTTAAAATGTTTACAAACTGTCAAGTGTTTTCAGACACTTGGTCTCTTCCCCACTCCTTCCCTTGGCACCACAGAATCACACCTGCAACAGATACGCCAGGTTGCTTTCTCTGCCTGCAGTCAGTAGTACTCCCTCAATATAAAACAGAAGTTGATAAAAGATTCGGAAGCAAAAGTAAAGATTCCAACCAAGTTTGTCAAACAATCTCTAAGAAGATCATGAGATCTGCATGTGTTCAAAAAAGAGAGGGTCACAGGTTTCATTAAAAACAGGGTTACTGTATGAAAGCTTCTAAAATCTTGGAAGACCCAATTGCTTAAAAAACCAAAGACTGGTTGTTGTCTGTAAAAAAAAATCAAGTACATACAGCAAGAAATTTCTAACCGCTCCAAGCAGGCAGCATAATAGTAAGTATGTACTACAAAGAAAGCACGTACTACACCAGGTAGGGGTGATGCAATGGAAGGCATGAAGCAAGACACAAGACTCCTCTAACCTTTAACAGCTTGCTCACAAAGTTGGCAGCCTGCAGAGCCAATCACTGCTAGTGCACGTGCAAATTAGCGATGCTGTATTGAACAACCTCCTGCTGATTGTAGAGGACTGCTGGGTAACCTGTTGGTGTAGTGAAACACTGTCTGAACCAACTGCTGTCCTGTGAATGATGGAAGTGGAACACTCGTTCACCTTCTGCAGGTGAAGAATATGCAAGAAGAGTCTTTCCCGTCTCAGTGGGAGAACTGAAGGGCAATTTAAAGAAGGAAATTTAAATCGATCAAAAATATTTATTTTAAGGGAAAAATAAGCAATATTTGCCACAAAATTCTTACACTGAGAATGGAATTAATCATAGCAGCAAAAAGTGTGAGGAACAAATTCTTCATCTGTCTGTCTACCACACAGCAACAGATGAAGTGCAGGCCAATAATGCTTAGCTCCTCAGGCTTCTCCATGAAATGTGTGGAGGAAAGTGTGTTGTCAAGGGACTTCTGAACAGGAACCACACATTGCAGCTTTAAGAAAGCCAAAGCTACACTATCTTTGATATTGCTAATTATAATCAACAATTTCAAAACTGAAGTCACATCTGATTTTCCTATTTGGGAAATTATATTGCATTATATCTATGCAGAGAAAGAAAAACTCATGAAGAATTAGAGCATTTGTGGCTTAAGTAGAAGGGATGACTAAACAGACTGCAAGTCAAGACCAGTCAAATACTATAAAATAAGCTCTTAATACACAGAGGTTAATGTGACACAGCTCTCTGAAATGGATGAGTATTTGATTTATTAACAGATACTAGATCTCCCAATACAAACCCTGAAAGGAAAGTGAAGTGGCTTTCTTAAAGTGTTTGCACTCATACTGAGTCCCCACTTTCAGAAAAGGTTTTTGTCTGCTGCCAGCAGGTAACAAAGTGAAGACCTCTCAGTCTCCCTCACACTTTGATGCAAAACTAATAACAACACTGGACTCACAGGCAACAGGTTAAGCCTTGTTCACAGAAATACTGCTTGTTAACAATCCCAAGCATTAGCCATGATTTTCAATTTAATTCTGCTTTCCAGTGACTCAGAGTCAGTGCCTAAGCACCCCCATGGGGTCTAAGGATAGCATCTTAAGATGCCTTGAGGCAAAAGGATAAGAGATCATAAGATCATACTCTGAATACAGGATAGTTGTGTTCATATTCAGGACCTCAAAAATTGTGTCAGAATGGAAGAAATCACAAACCTGGACATTCTTATGGAAGGCAATAGTGAGATATGCTTTGGTTGGTGACCTCTGAGGGGGTAAGGGAGAGGCACCACCTATTTGTAATTATATGAAGGACAAAGGACACAGACAAAATGCTTTGAACTAAACAAACAGTAGATTAGAATAATAATTATTAAAATGTCCCAACTCTGAGGGTTACTATGAAAAAAATGATTAAAAAAAAGTCAGTATGCAAGTCAGCTAAATCCAGATTCAGTTGCTATCAATAATGCAGAATACCTGGGGCCAGGAATACTTTTGCAATGGCTTCATAAGAGGGTTAAGACAACTTCTGCCTGCCTGGAAGTCTGTGCTAAAAACATCACACAAATCCATTAAGTGAATGACAAATCAAAAGGTAAACTAAAGGTAACACATTATTTCATAACAATGTTTTCAATTCCATGAATAAAATGACTCTTCCATCTTCCTAACTGAATAGCCCTAAGGTGTCAACAGAGACCTTCATTTAATCTTTGTGTTCTCTTCTTCTCATCCCTCACAAAAGCAAACAGCCCTTAAATCTCGGCAACAAACATCTGGCTTTACACATTCAAATGAGGTGCATCAAAACAAACAGAATAATTCAAAGCTGACCACAAGGTTCTGCTGTCTCATTTGCTGAAGTAATTAAAAAAAGATGAGCTTCACCACAAATTAGCTCTACTGAGCGCTAATTAGCGTTAATGAGGATTTGTAGTATTTGGTATAGCTTGACCCAGAATGTCCTCCTGAGTCCACTAATTGGCTGGTGGGAAAAGCAGGGATCACAAAACAGGGATGGAGGTGTTAAGGTGTTAAAGTGGATGCAGGTGTCTCTTAAAATTGAATCTTCCCTGAGAAAACACACACATAGTCCAGTTAAAAAAATACAAAATAAAACATCAGAGCCCTCCTTCTCTTACAAGATCTGAACTTTTCGTTTGTGTTTTGTTACGATGTACTAGAGGAGACAGAGAATAGAAGCACACCAAATGTGCAAATACACTTATTGCCGTTGGTTTTAACTCACTGCCCCTCTTCAGTCAGATATACACATATGAAATTACTTTCTTTGTTTCTGCTTTTCCACTTTGTAGAAGGAAGAACTGATGTACTAGCGAAGCCCTACCAGGGCTGCTAGAGATGACACAACTAAAACGCACAAGCACACTTCCCAGCTGCTACCCCCACCTCAAAAACATGCAAAGAACCTGTGGCAGAAGCACGGCTCTTCAGTGCAAGATACTCAGTATCCGTGGGTAAGCCCAGAGAACAAGAAAGCTGCAGCTGTTTTCCCTGTCATCTGAATAACTATGAAGCCCTCACTATACTGCCTGCATGTGCAGCATCACTGTTTCTTCTATCCTAAAGTGCTGCTGCAGCACATAGCAACAGGTAAATAATTGTACAGCTTGGTTTAAAATAGAAAATCCTTCAAGGCTGAGACTGAAGTTTTGCCCTTAACTCCACAGCCATACTCCTGACCACATGCATTTTCAAAAAAAGCAGCAGATAAATCCCTGTTCAGCCTCTTTCCTTCCACTGCTACATACTCTGCTAAACACACTGTTGCCCTGGCTGGCCTGCATTCTCCTCCTATTGGAAGAAGCATCTTGCAATGCATTGTCCATGACTGCAACAGCAGGGATGGGAGAGAATGAGGGAAGGGAGAAGTATTTGCAAAATATCCTCTGTGGCCACACACAGAGTAAAAGA